TAATTTGGGCTCATATTTGACCCAACATTTAAGTTACAACAACCCAACATTTTTTTTAGAGTCCTGTTTTCCAATTCAAATATTGAAATATTCTTAAATCAAGATGCACTATACTGGAAAAGCTAAATTAGATAATAAAAATTAATCACGTTATTGCTTTAAATCAATGAAATTAAATAAAAACATAAAAAAATAAACCGAATTTAATTAAAATGACAAAACTATCTAAATCAATAAAAGTCTAATAAATTTATTAAAAAAAAACATTTTAAATTGGAAAAATAACACTAAGCGAGCTTATATTATAATAAAAAAAAATTACTAATTGTTTTGTTGTTTGTTTGCATTAACTTAATTTAATGCTTTTTTGAAGAATTATGTATTTGTTTTTTGTATAATAATTGTGGGTGAAATATTGATTGTTCATTCATTCTTTATTGTAAATTCAAACTTTTGGACAAAAACTGATTTTAAATATACATTTTTAATGCAAAATGTACTTTGAGAATAGTTTTTTCTACAAACGATGATGTATTTGTGGGTGAAATAAAAGCCATGAGACAGCAGTGAGACATATGTTTGTGCGTTTCTGCAGCTCAACCCAGAATCCCATCTGGTGGAAGTGGCATATGACGGATTAAGAAAACTCACATATTTATACAGATATAATATTATATACAGGCTCAATAACAAATTCAAGATGCCATCCGAATACATCAGCGACTAAAATCTACTCTAAAATCTAAGAGTATAGAGCAAGAACAGGGACTTTATCTACAGACTTAGCATATTTCATATTTAACAATTATGCATATCTGCTAATATAATAAGGCAAAGTCAGAAACACTTGAAGAGATGAAGAGGATGATGAAGGAAACATACAGAAAAAAAATCAACCCAGTGACAAACACTAAAGATCTGCACCGCTCAATATACTTAATTACACTGAGACTACTCACTTTTGAATCATTGTTGTGTAAAACTAATAATCATGTTACTCTGAACTGATGCTCACTTTAGTGCGTTCATTAAAACCAGAAATGCTCAATAATAATAATAATAATAATAATAATAATAATAATAATGATAATAATAATTACAATAATAATTATTATTATTGTTATTATTATTATTATTAT